GCACTGTCGTGGGTGTCCCCACCCCACGTGGGTGCCAGCACCCCAGAGACACCCAGGAGGGATGTCCCCAACCCTGGGACGTGTCACCACCCTGGGGACAGCTAGGAGGGGTGTCACCATGCCGAGGACACCCCAGGGCGGGAGGTGACGCGGTGGCTCAGCACCCATAGGTGTCCCCCCTCCTCCCCCAGTAGGGTGCCATATCTCCCACTGGGGCGGGGTGGGGACACCCACGGGTGACACAGGCCCCGGGGACACCCGAGAGGTCCCATTGGGCCCCCAGGGCAGGATGGGGAGGGGGAGACACCCCCCACCCCCCACCCCCCATGGACTGGGAATGGGGGACAGGCAGGGAGACCCCAAACTGGGAGAGAGGCTCCCAAACTGGGAAAGGTGGACGGATTGTGAGCAGGGACCCAGTCCCCCCAAACTGGGAGTAGGGGAGGGGGAAACCCTTCCCAAACTGGGAATGGAGGAGAGGAAACCCCCCTCACGCTGGGAATGGGGGAGGGGATATGTGTGCACCCCCCCAAACTGGCAATAGGGGAGGGAGATAAACCCGCAAACTGGGAATGGGGAATTGGGGACCCCCCCAAACTGGGAATGGGGGAGGGAAGAAGCACCCAAACTGGGAATTGGGGAGTGGGAACCCCCCCCAAACTAGGAAGGGGGGAAGGGATTCAGACAGACCCCATCTTGCAGCTGGGTGGGCCCAGTCACCCCCTCAAGTTTCAGGGCTCCCCCCAGTCCTACCGGCGGGTCATTAAACAGGCCAAAATTTGGGTGCTTTTGGGAGGGGAGGGGAGATACCCCCACAGGTAGTGAGGGGAGCCCCAGTTTGCCCCCAGCCTGCCACCCTGGCCCCCCCAAGCACCTGTACAAGCCCCCCAGCAACTTTCACCCAGCACCGGCTTTAAATCATCCTCTCCAGTGGCGAGGTTGAGTATTTTTAAGGTGTTTTTACTCACTTGCACGTGGCTCTGGGGACTTCAAAGCCCCTTTGGAGACTCTCGGGCTTCTCCTCTGGGGGTAAAATCAAGTGTTAAACCGACTGAGAGGCAAAAGCATGGGGCAGAATGAGATGGGTAGATGGTAGGAAGCAGAGGAGGCTTGGGGGTAGCACAGGGGCTGTCAGATTTGGTCGCCAGGGCAGGACAGGGGGGCTGAGGGAGCCGAATTGGGGCTGTCCAGGCTGGTCCTGGCATGGTTGAGGGCTAGCTCTGAGGGAGGGCGGTGATTTTGGGGTGACACCAGGTACTTGAGCCCAGGCCTGGCTCACACCACAACCTAGAGCCACGTTTTGGCCTTAGGCCCTCGCCCACAACCAGCCCTAAACCCGGGCCTCAACCCAGGCCCAAGACCGGCCCTTGAGCAGGTCCTCGCCCAGAGCCAGGTCTGAGCTCAGGCCCCAGCCCAGCCCCAGGCTGACAGCCGAGCCCTGGCACAACCACGCTCAGGGCTGGGCCTCGGCCCAAGCTGACGTCCAGGCCTTGCCCCAGGCCTGCGCCCAAGCCCAGGGCCACATCCAGGACCCGCCCAAGGCCAGACCCACCTCCAGCCCTGGGCCCAGGCCCAGCCCTGGGCCGCCATCGATACCTGGTCTGCAACCTTCCCCCATCCCAGCCTTGCCCTGAGCACCCTCTGCCCCGGGGAGACCCCGCGGGGCCGGAGCCCTCTCCCTCCCCCGGGGCCGCCGCCCACCGCGGCCGAACCGGAGCGACTCCGGAGCAGCTCTAGGGATGCTGAGGTACTTGCAAAGGTGATTGGTTCGCTGAGCTGTCGATCAGATCCTCTGCCCCGCCTCCCCGAGGAGTTTGGATGTCGATTGGATGAGCGCAACGTCCGTCTTAAGAGTCACCTCCTTCCCCGAGGTGATTCGACCGCTGGTTGGTCCAGCGCCTGCCCGCCCTTTTGGCTTCGAGGCAACATTCGCCCTCCCAGCCTGGGGGAGCGGAGCGCTTGGAAGAAGCGGATTGGATCCATGTCTTGTCAGTCCGCGCTCTCCAGATACCTATTGGTGTCCACCCACTGAGTGAGCTGATTGGCCCGCTCCCCTTTAGCTCCGCCCCCGAGCCGCTCACGTGCCGGAGGCTCCTTCCCCGCCCTCTCTCGCCGCCGGCCC